TACTCCTGAGGGTAAAGAATAAAAATGTAAGCTTCCTAACATAATTTTACAAGCAGTTAATGATACCCTATGACAAAGAAATGTGTTACATAAACTTTGTAATAAGAATGCAGCTTCAGATTTGATACATTTGAAATATTCTCCAAATTTCTATAAAGCTTATTGCCTGGAGATGTTAAGTAAATTACTCTGATATTAGAGTTTCCTAAGTAGTCACTGAAAAATTTCATAAACATTACCAACAGAGGTGGTGAAAAGTAGTGTCAAATTGGAATAAGGATGAAAATGATAAATTCTCAAATTGCCCTAGGCAACAAGAAAAGCCTGCAGTATTTTTCTTGATGCTAAAGATATAAAAATTTTATCTTTTTGTTTTTTGAAAATGTAAAGTGCTCTAATGGTTTCAAACAATTTTATTCGTGGTAATAGCTGTAGTAATAATAATAGTAAAAATTCTTGTAACCATAAGTCCCTATGTATTAATATACAATTATATAAAATAGTAATATTATATTTACAAAGATAAATATCTTTTGTTTCCTTAAGCTATAATTCTGGCCAAAGGCCAGAAAGTAGACTAAATTACTGTCTTCCTTCATTTTAGTCTACAAATTTTCATTTCTCTGATTTTCTTTCCCTACACTCCAATTGATTTCAGATTCTTCTTGCTCTTAAATGACCCATGGTTTGAGATTTCCTTTTTCTTTCTTGGAAACAACTCATGATTGACTGAGTGCTTTCTGGCCATCTGCCTTCCAGCAAGGGACACCTTTCTCCTACAAAAGTGGGCTCAGTTTCAGCCCAGTAATGACCTCTCTAGGGCAAGGTTTGAAAATTGCACTGGGATCAGATAAGATTCTAAGGTCAAGAAAAGCAACAGCTGAACAGGTGATGACACTTAGTAGCTAATACCTTTTCAAATCCAAAGCCTGGCAGAAAAGGGCTCATTTGTCTACTGATTTTACATTCTAGCCAGCTGTTTTTCTAGGTGAGTTTCTTCTCCATAAATTTGGATCTGTGTATTGCTCAGAATTTCTAATTGCAACAAATTTTAACTGAAGCGGAAAGGATAGTGAATCAGAGTCTTGATCCTGTATCTTTTCAGTAACAAACTTTTCTTTAGTATGTCACCGTTTTTTCTTTTATTCACGTTTATCAATAATAAGACAGATAAATTACACTCATTTAGAGATAGAAGAGATGCAAGGATAATCTACTACTATTTAGTAATTACATATGGAGAAAACTTAGAACTGACACGTCCCAGTTAATTAGCATGACAAGATGAAAATAAGGTTTTCAGCTTCCTCTTCTAAGGTTTACCTGCAAAGTAGTTCTAGCATTGCTTGGTTTATTAAAAATAGGAGATAGTCTTGTGATTTAGAAAGAGTATGTGCGTGTGTTTGCAATTTGAGCAGGACAGCTTGAAATATGTGGAAAGAATGTCAAAGATAGAAGCACCTTTTTACTTTAAGAGCTTTGGTATCTGGTCTTGTTATCATTGTAATTACAGATAATATCCTGTCCCCTGAAATATAGGCTATTCTTTATGGAAGCATTAAAACCTCATATTTTCATATCTTGTTTGTAACACTTTACCCTACTTCCATTTAAGATATCTTTTTATTCCTTTCTCTTTCATACAGAGAATGAAATGTATGCTCATGCTGTCTTAGAAGATATTTTTATTATTTTATTTTGCCTATTCAATCTTAGAAGCTATTTTTAATATAAACACTTTTAGAAAACTGCTTTTCTTCTCCATATGCTTTCCGTATACCTAGTAAGACTTTAAAGGAGGATATGATTATTTCTCAGTTGAAGTGGCCAAATCAACTTAAATAAGTGAAATATAGACCCCATCAAGGTCTTCACATCATTGGAAAGTCATTTCATTTGCCTACATGAATGTCCAATCTTATGGATCAAATTGAGGAAGGTTATCCTGCTCCAGAAAATTTATCATCTCATGGGTTTCTAATCTTTTCTTCAGAAAGTATTCTCATTTTCGTATGCTTGTTTTAGACATCCTTAATAGGCAATATGTCTTTCTCTTCACAGAAATTCCCTACAAGTTCTAACAAACACTTGCTACCAAACATTGAGTGCTTACTTTCTTCCATACTTTGTACTGAGTTTTTCATTTGTAAACTTATTTAGCCCTCCCAATAATTCAATGAGTTAAGTGATATTATTACATTCGTTTATAGTTAGGTAAACCTAAGAAACTTGGACAAGTTTCCATGTGAGGTAAATACATAGATGATATTATATTTCAAAATTTCTATCCCATGATTTTAAATATGTTTTCTTTTTGTTTGTTTTGTTTTAAGAGATGATGAGTCAGATGAAGCCACAAGAAGACAGAGGAAAGGCTCAGGAAAACAAAGGTTATTATGCCAACAGGTCCTGGAGACTTGAGGCACAGCAGGCCTTACAAGATCAAATGAAAAAAAACAATCACCAAGGTGATAGGAGGATGAGGCTGGGGTGTGAGCGTGTGAGACAGTAGGAAGAGATGGCGGTGGGGGAGCTTAGGTGGTTAAGTCAAGGCCTTTACTAGGGTTTCCACAGTAAATGCAAGACAGGGAAGGGTGAACAATTTAGAACTGAATAGTCTGAATAATTTCAGTGGACTTTGGGTATATGCATGACCTCTACTAGCCTAGTACCTAGACCCAGTACAATTAAGGCAGGGGAAGATTGCCTCCTGGAGGGCATAGGACAGACAAAGGCCTATGGATTGTTTAGTTTGCATATCAAAGGAATCCTCCCCGCTGGGCCTTTTGCTATGTTTAAGAGTTGGCTAGCTCAGACAGGGAGGGGCAGTCTCTCCCCAGAAAGAAAGGTTTTTTAAGATGTCAAAAATTATAATACAGAAGTAATTACATACATATATAGATATATGTATACATATATCTATATATATACATATAGATATATACACATATATAATATAATATATGTTCCTAGAAAATATTATATATTTTATATTATGTATGTAAATACATATCTACATATATAATATGCAGTCATTAATATACAGGGTCTGGCACTAATAATGCCACTTTTTTATTACAAAATCATAAGCATGTAATACTGTAATATAATATCACACTCAAGCACAACGTATGCCATTTCAGTTGAAATGTTCAAATTAAAACTATAAATTATTACACCCATATTGTTACCCTACCAATCACACTCAAGCAGGCATTTCTTCTGCCAGACCCTGTATTATATATAATACACAAACAATGCTTACACAGAAGAAAAGTAATTTGATAAATTCATTATCACCTATATCTGTTTACTTGGAGCTATATTTTACTTTTATCCTTATATGGTCAGACAATTTATAAATAATTTTGTAGGCTATAGTGTCTTTTATACATCAAAGCTATTTCTTTGCTTATGTCACACTAACAAGATATATCTATGTTTATCACAATCACGTCCAGGGAATCACTTTCCTAACCTTATTTTATATGGGCAACAAAGAGAATTTCTTATCACATAATTTCTAATCGTTTTACTCTATATCTTTTTATTGCCTTAGACATAGTCTACTGATGAATGTAACTACTGAAACTCATATAACAAGATCTCCTTCTCTTAACTATTAAAGTATTTTATTACATTGTGGATTTTCAAGTTAAATCCCTGTTTATATTCCTACTGACTGTGAACTTGTCTCTTTTTCTATAATTTTACAGTGGTAATCTCTCTAGTTTCCTTTTAAAGAAAAATATATAATATCTCATTTATAGTGTTATTCCTTATTCAATGTATTTGGATTTGACAGAAGCATAAGGAAGACAAAGAAAACTTTCAAAAGATGTTAAGCATGTAAATTGGTTAATGAAAAAGAAAAAAGAGAGCATGTAATGTTATCTTAAGCTTTAGTGAGCAGATTTCTAAAGAAAAAGAGTTGGACAATTATTAAAATATCAGCAGTTTATGGTGGGAGTGAAGTGAAACAATATAAGAAATATCAGAATTTATTTTTACTTTCAAATGGCAACAGTAAAACAAAAGAAAGCACTTAGGTTAAGTTAAACTCCATTATAAATAATAGATAGGCCCACAGCCCAACCTGCTTTTTTGTATCTAAAACACATTAATATCATCAAAATATTTAAGTTACAAAGTTTAGCCAAAAGGCCAGTTTGTGTAGGTTACAATTCTACCTTAATTGATTGTGACTTTTAACTCAGCTGACTTTCTAGCTTCTCAACTTTCTGTCTCCTTTAAGATCTGTGAAGATTTATATCACCTTCTACCCCATTCTATTACACATCCACTTTCCTAATAGGCTAGAATTATCTTAGTACACTAAGTATACTTCTCCACTACTGATAAAAAACAACTCTTCCACATCACTTCCAAGAACTTGGATAAAGGGCCTGCACATAGGCAACTCAACCCATATTTGCTGAAAGAACAGACCTCTCTCCACCGAGTCAATTTGTTAGATTTGTGGGGAGGTATTTTACTTCCTCTAGTAAAGAAAATGGAAAGAATGGGAAAGTCAGCCACTCTCTGGGGATTCTGAGCTTTAAAAAAAATGAATGAGGCAATGAAATTAAGGATCCAGTCTATAATTTCAAGTGTCACAGGTAAATTTTGCCTAATATGAAATGTGTCTGGAGTTTGGAGATACAGACAAAAAAGTTAATCTCCTCTGTGACATTATCTGAGAACACTTCAAAGGCTAGCAAGGTCAATGTTGCTATAATTTCAATTTCTACAATTTCTAGGCAATAAAAACTGAATTTATCTTTCTCATTCACAAATACCCACATTGGCTAGAAAATATATCCATAAATTCTACTATGATACTGACTTAAATTAAGTCCCAAAGATTCAGTCATGTGGCCACATTTTCATCATGCTTTTCAGGCCCTTCTTTCCTCCTATCCATATATATATATATATATATATTTTTTTTTTCTGCATAGGTAATAGAATCAGTGGTGAGGAAAGGATTTACCAACCTGATGGAATCTACCAACATGTCATATCTGAACCCAAAGACAGTGATCCTGATTGGGATCCCCGGACTACAGCATGTGCAGTTTTGGATTGGATTTCCCTTTCTTGGTGTATGCCTGGTGGCTCTGCTGGGGAACATTTTCTTGTTAATCATCATCCCTACAGAACGTAGTCTTCACCAACCCATGTACATCTTCCTGGCAGTGCTGGCAGCTACTGACCTAGGTCTCTGTGTAGCCATTGCTCCAAAGATGTTGGCCATCTTCTGGTTTGGCTCTTGTTCCATGGCTTTTGATGCCTGCCTCACCCAGCTCTTCTTCATTCATGCCTTGCAGGGTATGGAATCTGGCATCCTGTTGGCCATGGCCTTTGACCGCTATGTTGCCATCTGTGATCCTTTGAGACACATGTCCATCCTCACACCTTTCTTTTTAGTTCTGATGATTCTGATGCTGGCAATCCGAGCAACAGTGCTTGTTGGGATTTTACCCATTCTCCTTAAACGACTACAACTTTTCCGCTCTGTGGCTATTGTCCATTCCTACTGTGAGCACATGGCTGTGGTCAAGCTTGCTGCAGAAGATGTCCATATTAACAAGTCATATGGGCTCTTTGTAGCTTTTGCAATTCTGGGTTTTGACATGATCTTTGTCTTCATCTCTTATATTCTAATTCTGCAGGCTGTTTTTTGTCTTCCCCATAAGGAGGCTCGGCTTAAAGCACTCAGCACCTGTACTGCCCATATTCTTGTCTTCCTGGAGTTTTATATCCTTGCCTTTTTTTCCTTCTTCAGCCACCGTTTTGGACATGTGTCACCCCACATCCACATCCTATCATCTACCATCTATCTTCTTGTGCCCCCTGCACTGAACCCCATTGTCTATGGTGTGAAGACCAAAGAGATCCGCAGGAGGGTCAAACAGATTTGTATTCTGAAGCCTGACACACCGAAGTGATCCAAAAATATTGTAATATGACATAGGAAATATATGCATTTATCTGTTTAAGATGGAAACTCCTTGTACCATGTCTATTCTGGTGAGGTTTTAATATTATAATGCTCTTCCTTAAATCACCTACATTCCCAAAACAAGAGCACTCAGAATATGAGATAAACTTTAGTGAAAAATATGTATGTAAATCACAAATTCTTATTAACCTCAATCTCTCCCTTTCTTCTTTTATTTCTTCTTACAATCTTGATATGAGAATTAATAATATAATTTTGTACTACTATAATTGGTGCTTAAGAAAAGTACCCTTCTTTCTTTTTTATGGGGAAAACTTTGTGCGTCATCTACAAACTAAACATATTTTTGCTTTTTTTCTGAATTGAAAGTGAATATATTTACTAAAAAAACTTATAATTCTTACCATTATTAAAATAGAATTTGAAGGCTTTGGCTACTGGCTCTTCAAGTACGAGAAGTATATGCTAGACAGACTACATTTTTGTGACCACCAAATTTTATGTATTTCAAGAATTGATGATAAAATGGTAAAATTCACTATTGCTAAAAACTATATGGAAATTCACTGCTCCTAAAATAAAAATGTGTTTGTGTGAATAAAAATCTATCAGTGAAGATTTTTCATATAGTGAATGAGTAATCCTCTATAAGGGTAACATTCTTCACATGGCAGATGAGGTTTAAAGAACATCATAGCAACTATAAGTCCAACTGGCTGGATTGAGTCAGGGCTATCAGCAACCATTGTCCACAACAAATAAATTTGCATTAACTATAAATAAAGACACTATCCATTCATAGCATATAGAGTACAAAGATGTCACATTCCAAAAGATGTTATTATTGGCAAGTGCCAACTGTGGCTATAATTATTTTTAGTAGGTAGAAATGTGAACTGATGAATGAGTGTTTGTTGGAGTATTTAATGAGTGAAAGTAAGTATTTCTTTCCTCTATATGGTTTACCACTCCTAAGGTTGCCCAACCCATCTTTCTTTTCTTTCTTTATTTTTTTTTTTTTCCTGGAATAGTACCTGGAGTGGATTGAGAATCTTTTCACTGTGGAGCAGGGGCCAGAAGGTAAGCCAACTGCTTGAGTTACGGGAGAAAACCGCTGTCATGCAGAATAAGGCTCACGTGTTGTCTTGGAAAGGAAGGGATGTGTCCTAGCTCCATGGATTCCTATACATCTATCATACATAAGCAAGGCACTTTGGCTATGTTGGAATTTCCAGAGGGGAAAAAAAAACTAATTCACAAAACTGAGAGAGGACCATATATGTATATAAGAACTAATCTGGGGAGCACTGTGGTGAATAATGATAGAGATGTTTGGAAACAATGTAGAACCTAGAGAGGATATAGAAACTGAAAAATCATTTATGATGAAAGTGAAAGAAAGCTTAATGTGGCAAATTGTATATTCTAAGCATGGCTATAAGTGTATCTTCCATGTGTGATCTTGCCCCACCCTCATGAAAAATGAATTTTTTTCTCCCTGGCTGGGTAGCTCATTTGGCTAGAATATCCCGATATGCCCAGGTACCAAGGCTGTGTGTTTGATCCCTGGTCAAGGCACATACAAGAATCAACCAACAAATGCTTAAATAAGTAAGACAACAAATTGACGTCTCTCTCTCTTTCTCTCTCTCAAATCAGTAAAAGTAAAAAATTAAAAAATGAATGATTCTATACCTTTCAATAAGTTTGAGACCCTGCACCTGCTATGAATACAACAGAAGTCAATCTGTGCTAGTTCCTGTAGAGTCCTTAACTGATATTGTACCTTTTCTTATTTTCATGCCATCATGTAAGAACCCCCTGGGTTCTATTGTGATGGAACAGGAGTCAGTGTGGAAGAGGACTGAGGTGTCTGATATCTGAGTGAAAAAGAGGCCTTCTTCCTGGACCTGGATTCCTGTTCTAAACACTATCTGCAACTGTTTGAGGGACTCCAAGTGAGAACTTCACAGCTGAGTCCAAGCAATCAACTGAACCTTGAGGAAAAAGAAATCATAAACTACTGTTGAAAGCCACTAAGTTTGGGGCATTGTATTACACAATAATAATTACACATGGGGGGAAAATGGTGTCAAGTGTTGAATTCTGCAGTAACAAAAGCCTGAAACATGCAGCATTGGCTTTGGGTGGATGGACAGAAGCTTAAAGTATGCCAATATTGAAGAAGGTTTTAAATAGAGTGACAAAATTGTTATGTACCAGAGAATAAAGGGATCTGTGCTTTGTAATGGTGGAACAATTGACAAAATTGTTGCCCTTTTTCACACAGAAAATTTATATATCTCCAATGAACCTGTAGGTTTGATAAATGGAATTTCCAGGGAAGGTTGAAAGTACCACATAAAATAAACATATATAGGAAAAGATGAGTCAAAGAAGTATTTAACTTTCAAGTAGGCCTCAGGGAAACCATAAAGGCTTCTGGTATTTCTGAGTTTGAACACAAAACTGTTTCTTATTCACTTTTTCTTTTAGACATTAAACACTGGCCTCTGGGGGAAAATGATGCATTTTTAAGATACTATATTATTCAAAAGAACTACCAGGTTAGACTGAAAAGGATAGTGACAGATAACGAAAAGAATCATTGCAATCCCCAACCTATTAGCTTAGATGAAGTGAAATGTGAGCCATTTAAAAAAAATAAATGATGACTCAAAGTATAGAGCCTAAATCTTAAAGGATAAAACCAAGAACAATGGAGGAAAAAAGAATTATTCTTATGGAGCTAAATAGGACTCTAAATCAAGAAACTGGCAATATGTGCCTTAAATTTCAGTATGCTATGAACCAATAAGTGCATGTTCCATTTTTCTCCCTCTCTGAGATAGATTGTTTCTGCAGTTATCTTATTGCTGTATTAACATTGTATGTTGGCAATGTAAGAAGCAAATGACTTATCTCCTCCATTAATATATGTTCAGAGAAAGAGAAACCATATTCCAAGAACAATACTTAAAGAACCACACTTATCAAGGTTTGGGTATAATTTAGATGATGAGATTTTGGATGAATGCCAAAATGGAATGACACCTGAAAGTTTGGAGCAGGCATGAATGTATGGTGTGTATGAGGGAAAGTATGCTGGACTATCTTTGCCAAAGACGAATATGACAATATCTTCTAAACATCATGTTCTTTGGCAATGCAACCACCAGGAGTCTATTTCTCATCCCCTTGAATTTGGTCAGATTCTACGACTGCTTTGTACAACAGAATACAATAGAAGTGATGCTGTGTAAGTCTTGTATATAAACCCTATCTAGCCTAGCAGCTTCTGCTTTTTATATTTTGAGGCCCTAAAACACCAGGCAAGAAACCCAGGCTAATTTAAAGGGACAGAGCCTAGGGGAGGAGTAGTTAAACACCAGGCTTGTCAGTGAAGAAGCCATATTGGATGACTTCCATCCTTATGAACCTTCTGAGAATCCAGCTGCAGCCCCTTTTTTTCATGCAATCATGTGAGAACATAAAGTAAGAACATTAAATTAAGCCCAGTCAACTCAAAACTCAAAATTTTGGTTTTCTGTGATGTAGCAAAAATTATTCATAATAATTAAGAAGGGGGATTGTAGTTGAGGAAACACACTGCCCAATTGAAGGTGAAAGAACATATCCTACATAATATTCAGAAGTGGAGCTGAGATTTCACTATGAAAGGATCTTCAATGGAGAAGAATGTTGGCCAGTCAAACAACATGCTTCATTTCTCCATCCCTCCCACTGTCTGCCATTTCTCTACCTCCTTTCTTTCCTCCCTCTCATCTTTAATTTGTTTCTTTTATTTTTACCACATAGGCTGAATGTATTAAGTTCATGCATTCTTTTATATTCACTTGCTTCATTCAGAGACGTTATTTGAAATGGGCTTTGACCTATTCAGCACATGTTTATTAAACTTATATCACGTACTATTGAAATTCTAGATATAATGAAAACAAGTATAAACCAAACATTTGTTAACATTTGAGAACATCATGTAAATAAGCAATTATCATACTGTGCATTATGTGTTATGATTTAGAAAGAATAGGATGACACCAGAGACCATTGAAATCAATTCAATATAAAGTGAAGGAAAAAAAGAGGCAGGAGTTTAGGGAAGGCTTAAAAAAGAAGTATTGTTTAACATTAGCTCTAAAAGTTGATAAAGAGCATGTAGTTATAGCATTCTGAGGGTTATTAATTTATTTAAGCATATTTATGTATCTGAAAACTGGTGCAGCCAAATTGGAGGAGGTTAATAGTGATTTTGCATATTTATTAATAAAATTGATATGTGCATCACATATATATGTATATGTAAACAGGTTGTTATGAATGTATAAATATCTCAGAAGAGGTGTATGAATGTGTGTAAATATGAGTATGATATGTTAGAGAGAGAGGCAGAAAGAGAGATAGTGAGAGATGTTTATAAACAAATAAGATGATTAGAGATATGTATATGAAAGAAAAACCATGTATATTTATATATGGTTGTATGAAATAAATATCACCTGTGTGATGTTTCTTCCAGGTAGACCTGGGGTTATCTAAATTATGAACTTTAGGGATGGGGAAATGGTCATGATTTACATGTCAAGTGTTTAGAATTTGCTTATGTATAGTGAAAAAATCAATTTCTGGGCACGGCCTTTGTTCTTAATGAAATGTCAGTGTAAAAAGAGAACCCTAGTGCACTCTTGGTGGGAATGCAGACTGTGGAAAACAGTATGGAATTTCCTCAGAAAACTAAAAATGGAGTTGCCTTTTGATGCAGAGATTCCACTGCTGGGATTATACCTTAAGAATCTTGAAACACCAATTCAAAAGAACCTATGAACCCCAATGTTCATAGCAGCACAATTTTCAGTAGCCAAGTGCTGGAAGCAACCTAAGTGCCCATCAGTAAATGAGTGGATCAAAAAACTATGGTACATTTACACAATGGAAGTACAGGACAATTCATAGACAAATGAGTAT